TAGTTTTTTATCACCATAATCAATATGCAATAATAATTTTTTTAAAGGAACATTAACAGTGATTGAGAAAAATATCAATATATGATGAAGTTTTTATAAAGTAATCACTCTTATCCAAATGAAGATATTGTAAACTTAATGGCAATATTTTAGCAAATTGAAGAATGATTAAGATGAATATGTTGAATTGGTATCATTAAATGATATTATAGTTCATTGCTAATTTATATTGTTCAAGGTGGAGAGTATTACAATTTATTGCTTTTTTATAATAAAGAATATTAAACAAATACCTTGATTTGTAAAATAAAATTTGGGGACTTGCAGTATCCGATATTTATGAGCTTAAATTACAAATTTCAAATTTTTTAAATTGACATTATACAGTATATAAATTTATAATAATATCGCTAAAGAAAGCTATAATAATCAATTGACATTTATTATAAGAATGAAGAAATTCGAAACACTATTATTCATCTATAACTGTGATATTATGTGTATTTTTCTCTGCCAAATTTTCTTTAAATACAAAAAATTTTTGAAAAGCGAGATGATAGACTACTTCAGCGAAATTCAAAGAGTTAAGTTCATCAGATAATTGAATACTTGATAAATAAGGGTTTTCATGGTCAACAAATTTTTCAAATTTTATAGATGGGGATTTCATCCACCTATCAATCATTTCAATTTCGCATGCACTAAGTGGACGATAAATTGAACACATTATAATGAAAATTGTATATGATTTGGAATAAAGAAAATTATTATAAAGAATATCTTGATTATTTTTATAATTATTTGCCAACCATTTAAAATATAGGAGATACTGAATTGCTATAGTGGTTATTAAAATGATAGTATATAATAAAAGTCCAATTATAAATCCCAATATATACCATGGACTATCAGAACTACTTGGTGAGATATATTCAAAAATGCTAATATAGTTAACTCCATCAATGTATTGAAGTGATATAAGACCACTTATTATAATAAGATAAAATATTGTAAATGCTGGTATTATATGAGCAATAGTACTTTTATATAAGATTTTTACAAGAAAATAGTAATAAGCACCATAACTGACAATGTTAATTTGTTTATAATCATTTAACGTAAGGCAAAGATAAAGTGCTGTTACATTTGCAAGTGCAAAGGATTTACTGCCGGAGCTGAACATGCGATAGCGAAAATTTTTTTCAATACCTTTAACTTTAAAAATAGATGAAAAAGAAAGGTGAAATTTACCCATTATTTTTAAACTAAAGGTGAAAATTTTTAGTTAAGGATAGCATTTAGATTATAAGAATTTCATTATGTATATCACGCTGTTTAACCTAAAATATACAAATTAGGTTTGTCATTACTTTTTGTATCTCTTGAATGATTGATTTCAGTGTAACAATTATTGTAAAAAAAGTCGTGCAAATTTTAAATAAATATATGGGCTAGGTGCTGCAAAAAGAGACCAAATCGACAATTTTTCAGACCCCTTTTTTTGAGCCTAACTAATACAAAATTAGCTCAGGAATATTTTTCGCTTAAGAAACAAATACTGTTGTCTTAATAAAATTTTGCTATATAACTCTTGAAAGTTTGCATTTTCTTATGATTTATTATAAGATTTATAATATAAAAATCAATTTTCCAAAGATTTTTTTTTTTGTCAATTTCGTCCCTTTTTGCAGCACCTTGCCCATATATTTCAAGTTTAAAAATAAATTAATATAAGTAGTTATAAAATGTTATTATAAATAGAATTTGATCCAACTGATTTTATGAATATTCTTGTTCTCTTTTTATTTTTGTTTTTATTTTTGTTTTTTATTATAAATAGTTTGAGGATCAAGCTTTTTTTAAATCATTTTAACTAGTGGTGCCGAAAATTAATTATCATAATTTTTTCTTTAACAGTTCAAGACTTTCTGTATTGTTTAAATTCCAATTACATGTAATATCAGATTATTCATTAAAATATAATTCCTGTAATGACAGAGTAGGTCACGTGTATAAAGAACCAATTTTCACGTTTCCTCTAAATTTTTTTGGAGAGAAACTACAATATTATTCATCATTAAGTTGGATAGTATATCAAATTTGAGTATATAGATTTTCTTTTGAATATTTAGTAAATAGTAAGGACTATTTTTTGGGAGTTTCTTGTGCAGCTTAGTTGTCTCGAGTCTGGTTTTGGCCTCTGTTCATTTAAATAGTCGGGCTCTAGCTCTGGTGAGGTATCACATGATATTTGTCTTGGTTCATCTTCAGTAAGGCCTGAACCTGGGTCTTTTCTTATATAGTCTGATTGCAGATAAAGGTTATTATAAAACAAGTGTTACATTTGAGTTTGGCATTCTTGGTGTTACTACCTTGGGTACTAGTACAATATTATGTATATTGCTTCCTGATGAATTTATTGAATTTTTATTGGGCCACAGGGAGGGAGTAGTGTGAGTTTTCATCCTTTTCCTTTCTTGTTTTTCATTATTTAGGTTCCGTGCTCTTCATTTCCTCAACACACAGGCTGTCACCCTTGTTTTGTTATCATTATTTTTTTTTGAGCTGCCTTCTTTTGCGACTGTCCTCTTAAAATTGTGTCACCTGGCCTTTGTAGCGGAGAAAGTGTTTGATGATTTTTTACGCATTATTTTTAAACTAGATAAAATATAAAGGTGAAACTTTTTAGTTAAAGATAACATTTAGATTTATAAGAATTTCATTATGTATATCTGTAATCTAAAAAAAAATACAAAATAGGTTTGTCATTACATTTTGTGATGTATCTCCTGAATAATTGTCTTCTGTGCAACAAAAAAAAAAGTCGCATAACTTTTAAATAAGTATATAGTTCAAGTTAGTGTTCTGAATCATGCCAAAAAATAAAAAAAAATCGATTAAAAATCAATTATACTCAACTAATCGATTAACTGATTGGTCGACTATTTATGACTTTTTCTTTAAAAGTTTATATTACACCTAATCTTGAAATTTAATTGGTTACGAAGAATTTTCTTGAGGTATTTTTGGCATAGTAATTGATTAGTTAGTCAATCGATTAATCGTACGCTTGTAAAAGTTCATCGACTAGTTGCCAACTTGACCAACTAAACGATTAATCGATTTTCGATTTGGAACACTAGTTCAAGTTTAAAATAACTAAATATCTTATAGATAGAATTTAATTCAATTGATTTTATAAATATTCTTATGCTCTTTTATTTTTTATTACAAATAGTTTGAAGACCAAGCTTTTCTTTTAATCGTTTTTATAATACAAAACTCTCCGTATTATTTATTCAGTATTACAGTATCAAATTATTATTTATAATAGAAATTGAAATCATTAAACTAAAAATAATGGTTCGCTAAAATAACGATATTTAAATATATATATATATCTCTCTTCACTAGACTTATATTTATTAAAAAAAAAAAAAAAAAATACTTGCTTATTAAAAACGTTCTGTGTACTTTCGTTATTGAATTCTCTCCATACCATTTTTACATTTGTAAAATATTAGAAAAACGGTAGCGTTTTGTGTTCAAACTAGTCTGCTTATGAAAAAGTTGGCTGTTAAATCAGTATAATTATATATTGTTAGGTTCAACAACGTGATTCGAATAAACTGCGGCTTATCACGTTTGATGCGGGTATGAAGATCAATTACTTGATATATATATCCCGGACGCTTGAGACCCAAGTAACCCGAGCCTTAATATCCCTCAGCCTAATCTAAACATCTCTTTCGTAAGGTTACCTACCCTTGGTTATGCGAAATTTTGTATTATTGAGCAACCGAGTCGCAGTCCTCACAATATCAAAATTTTTGTGTTTCCGTAACGGAGCAGGTCATGTGTATAAAGAATCAATTTTCATGTTACACCTGAGGATGATAAAGATGATATAATTGGTTAGAATTAGAAAACTTGGAATTTAAATGTACAATACGTAGTACGTAGTACAAATTATATTGCTTTTCGTTTTATTTTTTATTTTTTGAAAATGTCAACTAATCTAACAGAAGAACAACCAGAAAAAAATCTGCAGTTAATCAACAAAATAGCTGCTAATAATAATCAATTAAATTTAGAAGAAAATATATCTTTAGATTTTTTTAATAATATTGTTACAGAATTATATAATCAAATTATTGAAGATAGGTCGAAAGGAAAAGATACAGAATTAATTGTTGAAGCATGGGATCAATTTCTAGTCAAAAAACAGATGAATTCAGATAAAATTATCAATTGGTGTTTGGATAATCAAATTAATAATATGGTTCAAATAGTTCTTGCAAGTTGTTATCGTTTTGGTAAATGGGTTCAAAAGGATGAATATAAGGCTTTTATTTATTATCAAAAATCTGCTGATATGGGATATTCTATAGGATTATATTATATTGGTGTTTGTTATGAATACGGAATTGGTGTTGAAAGGGATGAATATAAAACATTTATTTACTATCAAAAATCTGCTAATATGGGGGATGCTAGTGGAATGAATAATATGGGTTATTGTTATGAATACGGAATTGGTGTTGAAAAGAATGAATATATAGGATTCATTTGCTATCAAAAATCTGCTAATATGGGTGATGCTTGGGGAATATCTAACATGGGTTATTGTTATCTTCATGGAACTGGAGTTAAAAAGGATGAATATAAAGCTTATATTTATTATAAAAAATGTACTGAAATCATCACTCATTATATGAATTAGTTTAAACTACCTTGTCTTTACCTTCTCAAAATCTAAAAAGAAAAGTTGGATTTATAAATTAAAAGTTCTTTTAACTTGTTGTTAACTTAAGTTTCATTCATTTAAAATGTTTTAATGGGCTGACAAGAGAAAACCTTACTTCGGGCTTTCATACATGTACCCCGATTATTCTACTATGTAACCAAACACAATTGGAAGTATTACTATAGCTTTTAAAGACCATTAGAGTATTACCCTTTAATAAAAACCCGTCTAAATATTACAACATTTTAAAGTGTACAGTACATTAAAGTTTTAAACTATTTTAACGATTAAGAAAAATTTTAACTTTATAATCAGTCAGTGAAATTTTTTGTATTGTCATTATGCTTTAGTTGCTTATGGAGTAAATGGTGTTCAAGATCGAGATCAGGTAAGTGAATTTGTTTAGCTTTATTTTTATAATAATTCTTATTATTGGCTCAATAACATAATTTAACTTATTTGTATACACATTATTTATCAATTATTTTTGATATAGTCTTTACGAAATTTTAAGCTATAAAGTTTCAAAATTACTTATTCAGAATATACTTGGAAGTGTTATTATTATATACTGTAAATACTTCCAAATTTTCTTTAAAATCAACTTCTTTATATTTTTGATAATAAGAGCTTTGATAAAATAATTTTTATCACTTTCATTACAAACATATATATATCATTAATTGTATGAATAAATAATAAGAGAAATTAACTAAACTTGAAATAAAATATAAGTAAATAATAATCTAATATGGAATAAGAAAATAAAGCAAGAAAAAAATAATTGAAATATTTTTTATAGTCATACAAATATAAAAATATTATGATTAATTATATTAGTATTCTATGTTTAATTTAATAATTTGTGTAGTTAATACGTATTAATATCAGTTTGTTGTGAATCAACTAGGCAATTTATTTTATGCACATTAATAATATTAATTAATCTGATATATAACAATAGTTATACTTAGGTTATTATTATGAGAATTACTTTTAAACTAACTCTATAAAATATAAAACTAGAAATAGTTATTAAAAGTAAAATTGTAAAACTTAAAATTAGTAATTTTTTTTTCTTTACTATTTAACTTTGTTTTAGCTTTTTCATACTATAGTGTTTTGCTTTATAAAGAAAAATAATAAATAACAAAGAAAGATAAATATAATATATAACAAATATATATATAGCAATATATATATAATAAAATATATAATAAAATATCAAATAATAATAGTTAATATGAAAAAAATAAGAAGAAAAGAAAATATATACTAAAAACAATATAAAACAAATATATACTAAAAACAATATAAAACAAATATATACTAAAATAATATAAAACTATTTCAAACGTAAAAAGACTTATTAGTTATAAAAAAAAAATTCTATATATATAAATATTTAGAAATTACAGATTTATTATTATAGATTTAAATCTATTTAAGCATAATTTAAAAAATATTTGTTAAAATTTTGATCTTCTAACTAAAAAAATAAAAGCAGATCTAGTACAAAAATTAAAAATATACTTAGCAAAATTATTAGCAAATTTGGTTTTATTTAATTTAATAAATAATATAATAGTTAAAGAAGATTATACTAATAATAATAAAAAATACAAATATAATTAAAGAAGCAATTTATATAAATAATCTAGAATTGTATAGAAAAATCTTTAATTCAAATATTAAGAGAATAAATTTTAAAAACTAAATATAATAATATAGCAAAATTTTTAGTACTTTATTAAAAAATAATAAAATCAAATTCTATATAAAGAAGTAGCTAAAAAATTATATATTTAAAAAAAAATAAATAACAATTACTTAAAATATTAACTATAATTTCTTAAACTTTTTAAAATATCTAATAGTATTAAAACTTAGAAATTTAAAAAGTAGTATAGTAGAATTTAATAATAAACTAAATTTAATAATAGCTCAAATATAAAAAACTAATAATAATAAAGTATAATTAGATTATAAATTTAAAAAAATTTTTTCAGCAATCATACTAATACTTTATTTAATTTTTTTTTTTTTTTTTTCAGCAATCATGCTAATACTTTATTTAATCAACAATTTTAATCTATGACTAAAACATTT